GGCAGTAGTAAAGTTATCCTTTCAGTAACTTTTACATGCAGTGATTGCCCCTGCTGTGTATCAGCTACCAGAAGGAACTTAAATTAGGTCATGGCCAAAGATCATGTATCAAAAAAACAAAAATAAATAATATTTTAGAGTTGTTTTATAAATGAAGGAAATCAGAAAGACTTTTTAGACAGTGAAATCAGGAAACCTTACAGAGGCTTCTGCAAAGCATTAAACACAAAACTATGCAAACAAAGGGAAGAAGTAGCAAAATGAGTTATTTCTTAGCTCCCATGAACCTGTCTCTTCCATTAACACGTTAATAATGCCAGGCAGGTTTTCCCAATGAAATGCTTGGAATTAGCAAGTTATTCTGAAGAGAAGCAATGAAGAGTCCTATTTCCAACAGCCATAATGGTACATATGAAAAGGCAGAGAGATGGAGAAGACATGCTACTGTAACTATATTTTTTCACTTTGCAATGTATTTTACAGACCAATGACATTTCCTTCAACGAAGGAAAATTAAAAAAAAAAAAATCAGTAAAATGCTGATTTTTGCCTTTTTGAATGCATCTTGAAAAGGTCTTGAGCTTACAGCACAGTGTTATCAGCTACTATTGACAGAAACCAAACAAAGAACAAGCCTTGACTATTAAACTAGAGGTTTAATTTTCATTTGATTCTGAAATTCATTTCAGCATTTGAATGCCACTAGGCTCCATAGCCTAGTTCTCCACTTCCACTGAGCATATCCTGGGTGCAATATCCTGGGCAAAGTGTGGGTGACAATTTTATGCAGCATATAACTTCTTAACACAGCAGATTCCATGGTAAAAAGAACACATGTAATTCACTATTTCATGGCCCCATTTTAGGAATAAGTCAAGTAACTAGAAGCAGTTCATTACATCGGTCTCCTCAAATATACAGAGTGCTTCACACCAATCTTGATGAACAAGCACCCACAAACATTTTCTGTAATTCAGCTGAAGGACAGATACAGATATTGATGTGCCCTTGCTTCTGCTACATTAATCCAGGTATTAGGTTCTTCCTTACAACATTATTCATTAAACAAACAAACTAACTAACTAACTAAAAAACAAACCCCAACCAAACACTTTAATGCCTAAGGAATAAGGAGAAAAGCTTCACAGAATCTAGCACTGTACAGAGTATTTGATCAGGAGAACCTATAAACTAAATACAATAGAGAAAGGAGAGAGGTCTGGCTCTAACTTTAGGAAAGCACACATACACAGACAAACTGAATCCACCCCAGGCTTTTTTTTTTTTTTTTTAGAGTGTAAGCAATAAACATTACACAAGTAAGTTGAGATTCCTACAGTAAACAGATTCCTTACCCTTACAAGAACAACCACATTCCAACTCTATATTACAACATATATGAGTTAGCAGAATACCCTTAACGTACAGGAAGTACACAGTTGTCCTTACCTGTTACCCTGATCCTACAGGCACTAAGACTTCCTCAACTTAAAGCAATAATGCTACCTATAGGTCTGCTACCTGGACACAAGTGCACATCAGCAGCGTTCCAAAAGAGAGTACATTGCTTAGTCATGTTTTGCTGATGGAAATTTAGCATGCTTTGCTATGCTTCCTATAGCTGACTTAGGTTACCTCCTATGAATATTTTAAGAATTTCAACACCTGATACAATTTTCTTTTTTCAAAGGCAGGAAAAAAAAAAATAAATCTCTACTTCCAGTTACTTTGTTACTGAGTTACTTCCAGTGTACCTTTTTAAACCGCTCAGACATTCTCAGTTAACTTCAGAACTTAACTGGAAGATGAAAATAAACTACAAGGGCAAAGAAAAATTTTATATAAAAATGAAGAGACAGTTAAAATAATTGTTTCTGGTACCTTTAAAACGTATTTACAGTTGCCACACAAATGAAGTTTTATGTGAATGCCAAATAATTGTAAAGTGCGCCACTGTGTGGTAACTAACAGCTCCCCAAAATCAATTTGCTTCACAGCTCACAAACCTTTTTTCTGCCTCCAAAACTACAGTGAATCAGTGCTCACACTTCACAAAATATTGGAGAGACCTCTTCTACAGGAAGTGCTTTAGACGCATGCAAAACCACACCTGCAACATACTTCCCTATAGGTACTCTGTAAACTATAATCAAGGCAAAATTAAGAGCATTCTCCTCTCATATGTTATATATTAAAAACTGCTCAATATCCTACCTGCATTTCTCTTCTAAATTGAAAAGCTAGTGAGTAGGATCATCCCACTGGCTCCACGAGAAATATAAGGACACACTGAATTAAAACAAGCAGGAAAAACATTGCAAAACAAGGACAAACTGAGGCACACTTCTGGCTAAACAGCAAGTTGAAGAAGCCCCATTCATTCATAGGCATTCTTTAAGTTAATAGTACTCTGAAAATTTAGAGTTAGGAGAGGGGTAACAAATGTATTAAAACAACACATACTCAATAACACTGAAACATTTTCAAAGCATATAAACTAGAAATAACCACTAAAACAAGAATTTGAATAAAGAAAGTAGAACTCCACAGACTGTCAATGAAAAAGTTCGTTCGCATTCCAAACATCAGAAAGAGTATAGTTCGAATGTGCAGAAAAACGATTTTGCACAGAAATAATAAAACTGATTATCATTATTATACTTCTTGTTTCTGCACAGATAGAATGTCACCCATTCTTCCTGTTTTGCCTAGTTTCATTTTAGAATTATTTAATTGCTTTCAAAAGGAGTTGTTTCATTACAATTCAGAGTCTACATCCTGGAAGTAAGGAAATTGCTACTGGGATGCTATTTAGAGGTATTCAGAAATATGTTGTTCTGAACTTCCAGCATGGCACTGCAATAGCCACAACAATCAGGCTTTAAGAAGGACTTTTGTACATACTATTGTTTTTAAAATCTCTCTTATGCCGTTGTTCATCTTTGGTGATAAGATTAAACGATGATCTAGCTTTAAAAGGCTATTCTATCTAACATTGGTTAATGATTCAGAAAGGAGAGAATGAATTAAACATTCTGGTTTTGACATTAAAACAACTTTAATGTATTTTCAGTGTTAAGAGTGACTTCATGTTACTTGTGGTTGCCTTACGAAATGTTTTAATGATTAAAGAGTGAGAAGTGAGCAATACCTTATTTCATATATGTTTAATTTTTATTTTAGATGAAGGTAAACCTGTATTTATTACATTATTTACTGTGTTTCAAAATTATTTTTATAATTTTTATTATAGCAACATTTTCATCTTTTGTTTCTAAGAATAAGGTAAGCTGAAAATACCAACTAGAAACAATGGTCCTGGGAAAAAAACAGATTAGATTTTTCAGGCAAGGATGTTACTGTTCTGGTAATGCACCAAAAAGTCCAACAGAGGGTGACAGAGACCATAAATTCATTAGACTCTTTATATGGCTTTTAAAAAAGTAAAAATCATGTGCAGTTAAGGAAGGGCTACCTGCTACAAAGATCTCCCATAATGTTGCTCAAACACTGGAATGGGCTCAAAATTCAGCCTGGAAAAGGCTATATTCATCTGATATGGTAAGCTCTGTTCCAAGCAGGGTGTTGAAAAACACAACCTTCCCAAGTACCTTACAACCTGAGTTATTCTACAGTTCTATGAATCCTAAGTTACACATTCACAATAAGGATTCACAGCATGTTGTTTGTTAATACGCAGCTTTGGGAAGTGGCATTCTATGCAAGCAATGGGCAATTTTCAGAATTCAAACCACTTTTCTACTAGGCTGCTGAACACTGCCTTTCCCTTCTATCCCAGGCCTCCAATACAAACACATTAGCATACACTTCCGTAATTGCACAGTATTGGCAAAATACAACAGCTAGTATAGTGAATCTCTTCTTCAGTTTTCTGAGTTATAGATCAGAGTTGTAATTAAAACAAATTTCTGGCCCTTTCTGAATAGGTCTGAGGTCAAGGAAAGCCTTAAAATAATCAACTACAAAGCACAACAAAAATCAACTAAAACATACCCACAAACAAAATTCAAAGCTATGGCTTTGCTTATGCTAAGAAATACAGAACAAAAACACATATGGCATTGTCCAGATGTGCACAAGTAAGAGGAATCTGGACATGCAGAGGAAAAGGCAGTATTTGCAAGTGATTCCCTCTGGCAAACCAAATATTTAAACTGAACTTGACCTTTCACTTTAGAGTTCATGAGTCACATCTGACCCACTTCTGTTTCCTTTGCCAAAATCTACGGGAAACATTGTCCAAGCACAAAATGACCTTCCTAGGAATTTATTTATTTCACTAACCTTACACGCAAGATCACAAACTTTTTTTTTCCTAAACACTGTTAACATTTTGTTGCAGAAAGCAGAGTATTTATTCAGTATAGAGGGAATCGACACAGGAGATTGAAAAATGTCACCATAGTTGCTCCTTCTGAACCCTTCAAAAGTAAGCATTCACTGAAGTATTTTCTAAGAGAACATCACTGCTGAGTAAACAGCCAGCCATTAAGACCTGTTCCTTCAAAATGGCAAATGTGGACCAATCAGAAAAGCTGTAGTAACACCAGCTAAAAATCGATCAAAATAAACACATAACTAAATAAACCATTATTTTGCAAACTGAAAAAAAACCTGTTTCCGTTCTGGAGTTTAATCAAAGATATATTTCTCTCTTACTTAAGCTTCTAATCTTTTTATTCTGATTCTTTCCTAGAATCTCTTCCACAGAAAGCCAAATATGTAGAAAAAGCTCACTGGAAGTCACCTTGGGGCCAGAACAACTTCCATAGCTTGTTCTCAGTAGACAGAAACATGAATTGGGAAATAAAACCTGTAATAATAAAAGTTAACATTTTTCACATCTACTTTAACGAAAAAGAAAAAAGCTAGTAACATTCAAGACACCATATCACAGGTGTAGTGGTACCAACCTCTTACAGAAATTACATGTGGCATAGACAGTACACAGGCAGACTTGCCAGAGATAGTAGCCTTACCTTGCACTGCCCTGCCACGCAGATTGAAGTTCCATTCTGGTCACAGGGTGTCCCATCGATCACCTTTTCAGCTTGTCTCACATAGAATCGGTAGCCTACTGCACGGCAATTCAGCTCACACTTCTGACTTCCCTTCACTGTGCAAAGAGAAAGAAGTCCCCATTACAAAGCAGCAGCAATAGTTTTAAAAAGAAAAGGCCCAGTAATCTAAAACTAGGGATTGTGAGGAAGAAACAAACAAGCAAACTGAATGCAATGTGAATGACTACATCAAAATCAATGGTGATTAAGAAACCAACTCCAAGATCAGCATTCCAATATACCCCATGGAAATTTTAACAGTATCTCAGTTTTTAATGACAGTATTTTCCTAATTGTCCAAGAGTGTTTTTAGTCCCATAAAAATTACGGCAAATTCATTCTTCTTAAAGCATAACAACATGTTACGACATTTCATAATACCTAAGTGGCAGCAAAATTACACTGTAATCAGAAACATGCGGATAACTGGGCTCACATATAGTTCCTGGTCAGTTCACATAAAATGAGCATACTGACATTTAGCATTAAGAAACACATAAAACAAGCTAGACACAAATGTTTAAAAACTCTATTACTTCCTCTTCATTTCTACAGGTTACACTTTGGTAGCTATTCCTTAGTTCAAGAGAAAATTAAGAAAATAACATCTCTCATGAGCTCTGTTGACATGCAAGAACCAGATGGAAATCAGCCCACTGTTTTCTGGGTGAGAATAACACAGAAGACAAAAAACAGTCTCCATAAATAAATCTGTTACTTAAACAGATACAGTCTAATGCTTTACACTTAAGCTATCAAGTTTGTTAACACATGCGTGTAGTCCTCCTATTTCAAATCATCTGTCATGTTGAAATTGCACACAGTTCATTTCCCCTATTTGCCAACTGAAATAACAGTACCTTCAGTTTCTTTACAATCAAGAGTAGCACTGTTACACAGTGAGAGTGACGTACAAATAGAATTCCTTTTTGTTTTGACAATACTTTCCTTGCTGCCATAATTAAAACTTGAATTCCCCTGACCACACCAAGCTTCAGTTCATACCCTATAATGTAAATGAAACCATTTAATCTTTCAAAGATGTTATATACCTTTGCTAGCCACTAAAATATGGTATTCCCAGGATTTTCTACTGGAGTATATTTCTGAATGTTCAGCTAAGACATAAAAAATAGCCAAAACAAATAAATTCAATTATTTCAAATACATATTTAACATTTACTTTCTGTAAGAGTATCAAACTTTTCAGCTCAAATTCAGACACCCCCTGTGCAGACACAGGATTAGTGCAGATCTCCACTGCTGAATTTTGGATCTTAGATTTCCTTTTATGCAGTTATTTAATGCCACTTGTACACATCATCTACTGTGTCTGGAAATCTTTGGATAAAACCCCCAAAACCTCTACTAATTTTAAGTGAAGTCAAAGATCTGCTTTCTTAATTCCCTTTTTGCAGAGAATATGCACACCATGCTAAACTAGGAATTTTTTCCATTGGCTACTTCTTTAAAACAGATTAACTACTTTATCATTCCAAAGGTATTTCTCGCAGGTTCAATCTCCAAGTATGACAGTTAGTTTTAATGATAAGCTGAGAATTTTTCTTAGCAGCTTAGTCACTTAACACATAACTATTTCAGAATTATCAAATAAATACAATTCAGCTTCAGTGATTCATTATAACTGAAAACAACTTGTCCTTTTCTGTGTGTGAAAGTGTCCTATTTTTATAACCTGCAACACTAGCTATCAAGCAGCACCTCTGCAGCATACATTTACTTATCTTCCCATTCCCTAAAATCAAGCCAAACTAGCCATTTTGGGCTTCTGAAATGTCCTTATCTTCTATGTTGATTCCCTTTAGTTCTAAGTATCCTGAAACCTCACATTCCTGTACTCTTCCTAGTATCACACATTTGGCTTTGGTCCTTTAAAATATCTATTCCGGAAATTCTCAGACTGCCATCTAGATCCCAACTGAAGTTCTGTGCTACTCATAAAGTTGAATACTATTTCTGCTGAAGCATGGTATTCTTTCGTGGACCTACCTCTTCCTTTATTTCTGATTTGATAGGCAAGCCTACTGCTTATTAACAACCACAAGCAGGCTAAGCTTACTTGCTCTTGTTAAATATGACCCCTATTTCATAATTTCTGCTTTAGCTCTTTCTTATTAGGAAATGTTCCTGCTCATACAAAGAACACTGGCTTTAACCAGTACCCCAGAAAAAAGCTTAAATAAACAAAACTTTAACATTGTACACCAGAATAAAAGTTCATACGAGTATCTCACACTCTGGCCTTTGATATTCTGATTCTTCTAATGAGCCACTATATAAGGCACTGTCTCGGTTAGCAATGTAAAAATTACTATTCCCTAAAGACAATGTTCTCAGATACCTGAAAAAAAAATTTCACCTGAGAAAAATCTCCTAACTGAATTGCCCCTATTGAGTAAGAGGCATTTCCCATTACAGTTTTATGTAAGCACTGTGTATCTACTATGCATAAATTACAGCAGAAAAAACACATTTTAGAATTGCCTTGTAAAACAAGATACCACACTAGTAAAAGCAGTCTACTGCTTATTAACCTCAGATGTATCTTGACACCCACCTTTACCCAGTATTTTGCCACAACTCTTGAAGTTTTATGGCTTAAGCGGTAGCTAAAGCTACACTACTGGCTTGGCAAGTGGACATAAAATGTCAATTAAACAATGAGCTGTGAGGAGATTGATTCCACACAAGCAACATTTCAGTACTATGTCATATGATCCCAGACTTTACAAAAGGACCCATCTGACCTCAGAGAACAGAGTAAGGCTTCTAGGTAAAGACCTTCCAAACTATCTTGCAGCAAGAGACATTTCTACTCAGAAGTGGGCTCTTTTTAAGTGTGACACAGTTACTAAGACAGTTCACTATACAGGTTCTGTATTATATATCCTCCTAATGTATTTGCTTTTCATTCTTGCACCTACCTTAGCACAACTATGTCTTTGTGGAAATTTTCACCTTACCCTACCTTATTTAATAGCAACTTTGGGTGAAATTCAATGCTACCGCCCAGGTTCTGCCAGACTTATTCATTATTGGTTTAACTCTGTTAAATAATCCTGGTAACATGTAATTATTTTTTATTTTACAGTCTGAAAAAGTATCTAAATAAAAAAAATCATTACATTTTTTAAAATGTCCTTGTCAAAGTAGCCTTAAGTACCTCAGGGATATCCTGGGCTTGCCTAAACTGCATGAGTTGGGGTTTTCCTCAATCCTGTGTTGAAATTTACTTATGAGGAACCCGGGCAGCACAGTTCTACCACACCCCACTTCACCAGCGAGGGTACCAAGTCCTCATGTCTTATTGCAAACTGCACATCTTCTGCATCACAGAGCAGATACTGCAGCAAGAAAAAAAAAACACAAAAAAAACCCAAAACATCTACCATAAAGCAATCCTTTTACATGTCCTACCAAGACAAAAAAGTCCTGCAGATGGCCACTAATTCTGAAATCATAACCCTTCCAGAGAAACTTGAAGACTGTTGCTACCAGCAGTAACACCATTAAATAAAAAAAACAACCTGCTTTCCCTTTAATTTGTCCTATTCATTGATGTATTAAAATTCACACACAGAATATATTTTGCATTAAATGTATACTGACAAATACATGTAAAAGTGGAAAAATAAGAAATGTGATTTTCTAAAGTGCTATCTATCAAGTTCACAAAGTAAGCCATCGTCAAAATGAATGCAAGAGTGGAGGGCCAATCCATACATCAATGTACAGCTGATATTCTCTTTAGATCGATCTAATTAATCTAACTTAAATCACAATTAAATAAACACATTTCACTTCCTCTAAAGAGTCTATTTAAATGCAAATTTCAGTGCAGTAGATGTTTCATTAGAAAAACTCAACTGTGCAACCCACCCAACCATTTTTTAAAAACAAAAATAAAAGGGATTTAGAAGTTACCACATTACAGCCAATGGCTAGATTTTAAACTAGGTTTCAGCAGCATTTCAGACTAAGACCTCTTCACTGATCTGACTGAGAGTCGGCAGCACACCTCCTGGAAGCACAAAAAGCATGGGAAAAACTGTCCTCCTTCAACTAGGAAAACACAGGTTTGTAGGAGCCCATGCCATGCTCCCGGCACAAGGCACTGCCACCCTGATGCTGCGGCACCACAGGTCTGATGGGCCCGGAGCCACAGACAGGCTTTAGCTGCATCAGAGCACCCCAGGGCAGGGGAGCGAGCCCTAAATACGGTCACTTGGGCACAAACCAAAACGCATCAAGCTGCTGATGGAGGCAGCTGCTGGAGGAGGCACTGAAGCACAGGGGACGGTGAAGGAGGGCTCGCCGCGGGTACAGCCACCGCCGGGCAGCTCGCCCCCCTCCACAGCGCCGCGCCGCTCCCGCCCGCGAGGGAGCTGGCGCTCAGGTCCCCGCTCCCGCCTCACGGCCGCGCTCTGGAAAGTTCGGCCTCGCAGGGCGAGCTCCACTCGACCCGCTGACCGCCGGGTGGCGCTGGAAGTGGCGCAGAGTGGTGCTGCTCCCGCCCGGCACAGCCGCGCACCTGTGCGAGAGCTCTGCGCGGCTCTGCTCACACACAGGGCGAGATGTGGGCCCTCACTGATTTCACTGAAGTGTCAGAAATTCATGTCCTCAAAAAATACCCAGCCCATCTCTAAACACTCCGCACTTTTAAAAAGGCATTTCCATTTCGGAAACGTTCCTACTTGCAGAAGCTTTCTACCTGTTTGTGTTTCATTCAGAAGGAGTATTTCCAAATGTTAAACCTTTACTCAAAAGAAGTTCTCGAGCCAAATTAAGCACACTGCTCCTTATGCTGTGCTCAGAGGCACTCGGCAGCAGCCTTCCAAGATCATGGCTTGCAGCAGGAGCTTCAGTGCTGGTCAGAGCTGACAGCAGGAGAGAGAGGCACAGGTTCCACCTCCCACCACTTCAGAGCCCAGGTTTTCTGCCTTCCACTCAGCTCCTTTCCCCTTCTGATGTTGGGTCTTCCCTCTGCAGAAGGCATAAAAGGAATTCCCCTCCCTGAAGAGCTCCAACCTGAGCA